ATTTTTAATTCTAATTAAAGTTAACTCACATTTATGTAATTTAACCGAGAAAATATTAAATAGTCACAACTCTAACACGGTAACGCGCATTAGATTATGATTAGCAGGTAGGCATAGCTGTTAAGGACAACAGTTTATATTATATTCCGAAAATTAATAATTAATTTATAGGTACCTAGGAGGTATCTTGGTAAAAATTAATATCTTAGGCTAAAATGTCCCCGTATTATCTTAATATGAAAAAAAACATTAAAAGTTAAAATTTGCAAAAATGGACTGTCCTGACACAAAGCCAACCAGCAATAGTTGGTATGAGCTGGAATTCACCACCCAAACGTCCTTTACCTTCATTTTTTAAAGAATTTTTTTGCTGTTAACCTGGTCAAAAAGAATCTTAAAAAAAAAAAAAAGTTATGCACATTATTTATGAAGTATGATATACAGTGGCTCTTTTAGTATAAATATTACTATATCCGGTCCTAGTTATAAGATCCAGTTGACTAATTTGGAGAGATTAAAAAATTTAGTTAAATTAGTTATTTGTAATGAATAAGTGTTGTTTTTCTTAAAATATATTTGCTAATCAAGTTTGTTATCTAAAACTATCATTGTTAGAAAGATTACTTTGGAAAAAAATATAAATATAAGAGACAAAATGGATTGGGGTCTTATATTTAGAACCAAAATAAAAGTCAAATAAGATCTTATATTAAAGACCGGAGGTAGTATAAACATATCTTTTCAGTCAACATTCGTTATATACATTATCGATCTTGTAGTTAATTTTGGTTATTTGTCAAAGAGCCTACAATTACTAAATACTCTATGTAAAACACATTTTGTAATATAATTTCCATTATAAAATATGTCTTACTTTTAAAATTGAAGGGAGTATTATTGTAACATCACCTAAAACATTGCTTTCTTAGATTTTGATTTAATTTAATCATAATTTTAGAACACTTTTATTGGAATTAAGGAATGAAATGAGAAGCACCCATCCAAAAGAGAATTCATGCTTGTTTGAAAGATTTAAAATTGATTTAAGTTGGAATTTAAATTTTAGAACTTTTAAATTTGAACATTTTTAAATTAACTTTTAAATATGTCGTACAAATGAGTTTATATCAAACTAATTATTTTAATAAAAACCCATCCAAATATACGTTATACTACATTAATTATAATAATTAATTTTTACTTCAATTTTAGTCTCGTGAAAATAAGTTATAAAAAAAGTTATTTTTGCTAACCTTAATCTAAATAAAAAAAAAAAGTTAGACTGGGGCAAGAGAAATGAATGAATATGAGTGAAATTAACAACACATTAAAACCTGATGTTTTGGAGTGTGTTTGGATTAACAGTGATAGTAATATTTCCAATCTGACTTTAGATAATAGTTATATAGTATAATGTGATTTCTATTTTAATTAGTTCTTGTAACAAAAACTTATTTGGATGAAAACTCAAAACAGGCAAAAAAAAAAAAAGCAAAGATGAAGAAACTATAAGCAGCTACAAGTTGTTTTTAGCTTTTAAAAAGTATTTACATGGAAACCAAACTACAATTTTAAAAGTAATTTTACAATATATGAAATAAATATATGGTAAAAATTATTTTGATTTGTGTGAAAATATTAAAAACTGCTTCGAGAACAAACTAAACACCTCCTTAATTCGAAGTCGATCATAAACCTATCTGCCTAATGGTCAATCCAAACTTTCATTTGAGTTAGAAGTTATTTTTTCAGAGTGTCAAAGCCAGTTTGGGAACACTCTTAGTAATTGCATTTACTTTTATATACCCATCTTATCAAATGCCATTATATCTATGCGAGGGACTTACACTGATTTGTTAGATTTTTCTTTTTGCCAACCTTATATGTTAGAATTGAATTCCCCTTTTTGGAGAAAGCTTCTCCCTGTGCCATGTTATAAAATGCAGGAAATATATTAAAAACAAAATTAGTTTAGGAGCATTGAATGTTAGTATTTGTTTTTTTATATATAAAGATTTTAGATACTATAAATAGTATATTTGACTTTGACTTTTCAATAGGCATGTATTTATTGCACATGGGAATTTCTCATAGCATTCATTCAGAGAATCATAATCATAAATGATTCCAAAACACAAATTTAATCAACATAAGAAAAGTCAGAATTTTTTTAAAAATTTATCAATTATTCCCATTCCGATATCATATGCCTTTTTATAAATAGGTTAAGTTATTCATTTGGTTCTCTAAATCTACATTAAGTTTCAATTGAGTCATTTAAATTTAAAACATGCATTTTCAACCCCTAATTTTTGGCATTATTAATCTTATTAATAAAAAAGACGCTAACTCTATGTTAATAAAATATACTAAGACTTCTACATAATAGTTTTAAAATTAACAATGAACCAAGTATTATCCACAAAAGCATACTAATAATCGGTAATATACTTTAGCCATACACTACTTCTGATTCTTAATATAAAAGTTAGTTTGACTTTCAGTTTAATTCTAAATATAATTAAGATTCTAATCCATTTTATTTAACACATTTATCTATTTTTTTAAGGTAGTCCTTGTAGTAATAGTAGTTATAATCAATGCACATAATTAGTAAGGATATTTTAAAAAAGACAACACCTATTTATTACAGATAACTAATTTAATTAATTTTCTTAATTTACTCAAGTTAGTCAATTAGCTCTTGTATTAAGGATCAGAAGTAATAAGTAATATAACTAACTAATTATAACTAATCCATTTTTTATTGTTAATATACTCTTGTTTTCTTATTCCATGGGTCGGACTGAACCCCCATTTTCATCCACTTAGAGCACATTGTTAAAAGATCTTTGGCTGTTAATATACTCTGATATATAAACATAAACTAATATGATACTATGACATCTTTATTCTATTTATTTTACTATTTATTGATTATTGATATACTTGATTTTTGTTATATATGCCCTTAATTGTAATTGTTCAATGACTATTGCAAGTAATTTTAATTTTTCCTTCTTTCCCTTTTGGAAGGAAAACTAAATCTAGCAAAAAATAAACTTTAACTTATTAGCCGAAACAGAAGAACAAAAAGGTTAAGTTTAAAGAAACCTGACACAAATCAAAAGCTCGAATCATATATGTGTGTGTGAGTGTAGAAATCTAAGACAGATCTTTTGAATATTGGGCACTTTAATTAAAGTAAATTTTTTTTGGCCAGAAAAATAACGTTTAAATATGGAAAAAAAAGTTTACTAGTATAACAGATAACGTTATCATAAAGAAACTAATCCAAAACTTCATCGAAAGGGAAAAAATTATCTGGGCATTAGTTGTTTTGTAAGGTAGCATAGCAAATCTCTCACTCTCAGCGTCTGAAGAGAAGACTTCAAAATATTGCAAAATATAATTAATTGGCGATAGAAATTAAAAGGGTCCCGTAATCACCGTTTTTAAGGAAAATGACCCATTAGAGAAAAAGTCAATTCAGATCTTACTCCTCCTCAGAAAGGTGAGCGTGATAAATTTGAAAAGAGAGGCATGAAAAAGATCATCCACCGCAGCCCTTTGTGATTGAGAATTACGGCTCCTTTACAATAGTTTACAAATAACTTAATCATGATCAATGAAATATAAAAATAAGTATGTGACACTAATTTTGTTTTAATTTACGTAAAATATACTATGATGCCAAACAAGTACTTAATCATTTTATATGGATGAAGAAATATGGATTATCTATTCTTTATATAAGAGAATTTTTTTAATGTTTTTTTTTTTGGGAAATAAGGTGTTTAAATGCTTTGAAAGTATCAACAAAGAAGTATCACATGTTTATTTTTACATTAAAAAAAAACTTTGATTGTTATTCAGCGTTAAACTTTACTGCTAAATTATACGACTTGGCTGAGTTTTTAGTGGTTAAATTTAATGGTAGATAACAAGTTTAGAGTAGAGATGCTATAAAATAAAGAGAAAATTACAATTAGGTGCAACTTAAGAAAATTAAATACAAAAAAAATCCCTTGAAATCATGAAATTATTTTAAAGTCTTAAGAGATTTTTTTGTAATAAATTTTATTTGTTTAATTACCAAATTACTCTTTTTTTTTAAATTTATATTACAACTGAAAGAGTAGTGGTTTACAACTTATGGTGCAAGGATTGTCAAATCAGCCGCGATAGTTGTTAATCTTTGCACCGTAAGTTGTCAACTACTGCTCTTTCAATTGTCAATACAAATTTTAAAAAAAGAAGAAGGGTAATTTGGTGATTAAATAAATAAAATTTATTACAAAAAAAGTCTCTTGAGATTTCAAAATAATTTCATGATTTCAAGGGACCTTTTTGTATTTAATTCTCTTGAGTGAAACCTAATTACAATTCTCCCTAAAATAAAGCTTATAGGCATCTAAGAGGGGGGAAAAAAGGAGAAACTTCTAAATATAGGGTACTCCTTGGTGAATACTTTTAAGGTGTTTAATTACCTTATTCCAAAAAGAAAATACATTAAATTTCAAAAGCGACAATCTTAAAAACTATAATTAAGATAAGGACCCACAACATGTTTTATAATTTAACATGGTTTGTTTCTAATTTTTCACCTTATTTCTGTAATAAATTAATCAAATTTCTCTCATTAATGACTTCTGTTCATAGTAATTTTAATATTTTATAAGAAATAATTAATTTTAACTAATTTTATTAAAATTATTATTCAAGTATAAAATTGTTATTTAGTGCGGAGCAAGAGGGAGTCACAAGGAGTTAAGCACCACTTATGTATGTTACGGTGAGAATCTAGAAGTACTATAATATATTAATGGTATTAATGAGATAATGATTTCTGCGTCTTTTCCATTTACTACAGACAAATTTTTGTTTTTTTCAACGAGAGGTTGAAAGAGAACAGAAGGGATAGAAAAAGAAATCAGCTGTATAATTATTCTTTCAAATTTGTCCAAGCCACTTTTCCTCCGGGGCTGCATGTGAGGGACTGAAGCTGGGTCCTCTGAAGTCGCCCCCACGTTTTCATCTGCGTATCCGGCTGGCTTCTCCTTCTCTTCCCCCATATTCCGCGAATGAAGCTTTTCTGAAGAATTCTCAGCTTCCAAACTGTCGTTCATACACGTCTTTGGTAAAACATTTCTTCATTTTCAGTTTGTTTGTTTGTTCTAAAGTCTGCTTTTTTTTATTCTTGGCGATCTGCTCATTCTGCACTAGGCCTTGACTTTTGGTTCTTAATGGAGAAGATGAGTTACAAATGTGCGTGATAATGCTGCAGGTTTGATTTGTCTTTCTCCCAAAAGTTTCTGCATTTCCTTGAGGATTACACTGGAGTGTTCATAAATTTTCTTCGTAGGGGTTGTGGATATATTGACTTTTATTTACCTCTTCTAACCCACATTTTCCTGAATTCGGTCATCCTGGTCAAGTTGATTGTTAAATTTGTTCATTTCTCTGGGGAAAGCTTGATCTGTATTTTGTGGTTCATTTCCGATCTGGAAGGTCTTGCTTGGCCTAGTGTTTGTTTCTGGGGAGGAACCGTTAATTTTGTAAAGTAGGAATGGAAATATTTTAGTGCATTTTGATCTCTTGGGAAGATTACATTGATGGCTTCTCCTAGTTCTTCCCCTTCTGCTGTTCCACCCACTTCTGCTGATAATTCCCCATCAAATTCTCTCGTATCATCACAGCCTCCCACTTCTAGCCCACCCAGTCAAACCTCTAATACCCCTGCTCCTTCATCTCCTTCTGACGCCGCAACCCCACCTCCTTCCCCATCTCTTTCTCCTCCACCAGCTACACCACCGCCAACTTCATCCCCACCGCCGGCATTGCCACCACCAGCTTCACCCCCGCCTGAAGCATTGCTGCCACCGGCTTCTCCCCCCCCTGAATCATTGTCCCCTCCGGCTTCAACCATGCCTCCAGCATTGCCACCACCATCTTTACCATCTACGCCAAATTCTCCTCCACCAACACCTTCAGCATTGCCACCACCATCACCTCCACCAGCATCTGTTTCCACCCCTCCTCCAGCTCAGAAGTCACCTGCTGCTCCAAATTTATCCCCACCACCTCCAGTAGAGGTTCTCCTCCTCCCCCCAAGGCCTCAAGGAGCCTCCTGCAGCAGATCCGCCTCCCTCTCACCGCAATTCTCCTCCTCCTCCAAAGAATGTCCCAAAATCACCATCCTCCGGTTCCCCTCCTCCACCTCTGGGAAAGCCACCAGAAAGTGCTCCTGTGCTTACACCCCCACCGTCTGTTTCCGACTCTCCTCCTTCTCCTCCTGCAGATGATCCCCCTCAATCTGCAACACCATCACCTTCTCCTCCTTCAGTTCCATCTGCTTCTTCATCCCCACCAACTGTTGCACCTTCTCCTCCAACTAATTCATCTGCAGCTGGGGGCCCAATTTCAGCCCTACCGTCTATTCCAACAGAGAAACCAACTGCAAAACCAACTGATAATACTAGTGTAACTGCAAATGCCCCACCCACACATAGAAAGGGGTTAAATACAGGAGGAGGTGTGGCTATTGGTGCCATAGTTGGCTTTGTTGTCCTCAGCCTTCTTATCATGGCAGTGTGGTTTGTAAAACGAAAGAGGAAGCAAACAGGATCAAAAGTTGGTTATGCTATGACCTCTCCATTTGGCTCATCTCAGAATTCAGGTATTGCATTGTACACTGCCAACGGTCAGCAACTTTCGTCTCCTTGGTTGTTTAAATGTATTCTCTTTCTTCTCAACCTCAACTATTTGTTATTCAGAGTACTACTAGCAGATCTCCTAAACTACATGTAAACATGAATTTTAGATATAAAGATTCTGGTTGCTGCATACTTTAAAACAGAGAAGTTCTAGCTCTGTTGCAGGTTTTTCTTTAGATGAACCAGCAAGACGCTTTAGTAATAATTAAAATTCTAATTATTTATCACCATTAAATACAACTTTTTCTTTTCAAGATGGCAAAACCTATAGCATGGGGATGTGATCCTCTTTATGAAATCTCTATTTTATTGTTTGTCTTCTCGAAATTATGATGCTTGAAAGGGTATATTAACTTGACGTAGTTAGCGATTATCTTCAAAAGGATTAAAAAAAAAAAAAACCTCATCTCTTATCTTTGAGGCCCATTGTCGTATTCTTATATGAGCCCAATCAGTCTTGCAGTCATGTTAATGTGAGTTTTTATCCCTGTTGTTTATAGGTTAATAGTGTCTCTGTGTATTTCTGTAAATTATTGCCATTACCATTTTCTCTCTTTTGAATTCTATCTTGAATGAGCTGCCCTTCTTGAACTTCTCTTACGTGTTGCACTTTATTGGTTGAGTCTTTTGGTTCTATACACCTCTGATAATTTTAAGCAACTATGATAATGAAACTTGATTTTTCTTCTTGTTAGACACTGTCTTTTCTTAACTGGAAATATTTGAAACATATGCTGGTGTTTAAATGACATGCAACTGAGCAGCTGACTTGCCTTTTGTGGTCGCAACTTATTGAGTAAGAATTGAAATTGCAAATGACAACTGGAATGACTTTTCTGAAATTATTATTCTCCTCTAGGTACCATATTCTTGAGGCCACAGTCTCCAGCTCCCTACCATGGTAGTAACTCTGGAAGTGATCTCATGTATTCTCCATCGGAGCCTGGTGGAGTCAGTCAGTCGAGGTCATCATTCATGTATGAAGAACTTGTGCAAGCAACAAATGGGTTTTCAGCACAAAATCTTTTGGGTGAAGGTGGATTTGGTTGTGTCTTCAAAGGTTTGCTCCCTGATGGAAGAGAAATTGCTGTGAAACAGCTCAAAGTTGGTGGTGGGCAAGGGGAACGTGAATTTCAAGCAGAAGTGGAGATTATTAGCCGAGTGCATCATCGCCATCTGGTTTCCTTGGTGGGTTACTGTATATCACAACATCAAAGATTGCTTGTCTATGACTATTTGCCCAACGATACCCTTCATTACCATCTTCATGGTAAGAAATATATCAGGCCAAACATTTTAATGAATGAGTAAATATGGTAACTGCACAAATTTCTGGCTCCAAAAGAGGAGTCCATATGTCAAAAAAATATAATTGATATAGTTCATCTAAGCATACAAGAATTTGATCTAAAATAAAACCTTGGTATATTAAACTTTGCAGGTGAAGACAGGCCAGTTTTGGACTGGGTTACCAGGGTCAAGATTGCTGCTGGTTCAGCTCGTGGAATAGCTTACCTACATGAAGACTGTAAATCGCTTTCTTTTTTTTTTTTTCAATTTTCTATGGTGCATATCGATGCCTTTAACTTCAATTTCTCAATTGAAAATTAAAGCATTTCCATGGTACTACTGCACGAGTTTCTCTATCTTGTGTTGTTGCAGCAAATATTTACATAAACTGTTGATTTTATGCTCCACCTTATATACTGGCTAAGAAGAATATCACACCTTATATAATTTCCTTGTTTTATCTATCAGGCCATCCACGAATTATTCACCGAGACATCAAGTCATCAAACATCCTTCTTGACAACAACTTTGAAGCTCGGGTAAGTTACAATGAAATTATAAAATTGTTAAATTGTTAAGTGACTAAATCTATCTAGTATATTCTCAATGCATTGCCAGCTTAAGCTGTATTGCATATCCAAATTTAAGTTTTGCTTTCTTAATGCATTTTGTTTTTAAGACTGTTTTTGGTGGTTTGACCAACAGGTTTCTGATTTTGGGCTTGCAAAATTAGCCTTGGATTCATACACACATGTAACTACGCGTGTAATGGGAACCTTTGGGTATGTAACATTTGTGTTTATGTTTATAATTTAGTCTTATTGACAGAATCCTATAATTATTCATTTATATTTTATAATTTGCTCTTGTTCATCCTTATTGGAATATGTCTATCGCATCTATTATTAGTGCTTCTAATCATTCTTTTATTACTAAGCACCATTAGTTTTGTCAGTTTGTTGGTAAGAATGTGCGAAAGGAGAAATTGGAGAAGTAGTGGATAATAGTTTTATTATGGTAATCTTATTCCTCTGCAAGAATGATTATTAATCAAATATTAGTGTCGTGGAACCGAAAGAGAGCAAACAAGAAGTCAAGAACACTATAAAGATAACTGAATAGTCATAGTTATTATTGTTCGTAAGAGGGAAGTCACTATTATAAGGACTAGACACCTATTTGTAGCTTGATATGGCCTAAGATAGCTCTAGGACCAACATGTCAAAGCAAACCACATCCGTACAGTCTTCGGTTGAAACCTTAATTGAAGTATAATTCCCAAATCGAAAAATCTAATTAATAAAATCATATAAAGAGGCAAAGAAACATCTACATCAATTGGTTTGTAATCTTGCTAGTATTTATAGTAGCAATGTTATTTTAAAATTTCCCGTGATGCTGGTGGATTTAAATATGAAATTTAAGCCCTTTTGACAAATGGAATGGAGCTTAAATTCATTTCATCTGGAAATTGATATTACTGAACTGTTGGCCCTGCTTTGAGGATATATGATTAACAGAATTAGCTGAATTTCAGGTACATGGCACCGGAGTATGCAACAAGTGGGAAGTTGACTGAAAAATCTGATGTTTATTCTTATGGAGTTGTGCTTTTGGAGCTAATTACAGGTCGGAAGCCTGTAGATGCCTCTCAGCCAGTTGGTGATGAGAGCCTAGTTGAATGGGTAAATTGTATACAAGCATTGCTATGCTGCTGCCGCTTCTTTCTCATAATTATAGCAGAGACGATGCAAGACCATTTGAAAATGGAAGGGGAGGAAGAAAGTGGAGATAAAGGATGGCGGGGGGAGATGGGAAGAAAAAGAATTATTGATATTTTATGCAATCCCTAAGCTCTATAAAAAGCGAACTGATAAGGTTTTATAAAGAACATTGCATGCTTAAAACAGTTAATGAGATAGTAAAGCAGACTATCCCTAATATCATCCTTTCTTCACTAATATCTCATAATTAAAGTGATGGACAAGAAAATCAGCAGAAGAATATGTCCTAAATTATGAGGCTTGATATCTTTCTTGTGAATTCTCATAGTTTTTAGTCAGAGGAGCTTCTGGAGCCTCTGTACTCATAATTCTTGTTCTGCATGTAAATCGTTGTACTCAATCTCTTTCAAATGCTAGACAATCATGAAGAAAACATAACTAAAACGGGAAGAACCATGGCCATACATGTATACCATTACATAGAAGCATGAAGGAATCACCCTTCTGTCCCCAACCCAACCCCCCCCCCCCCAAAAAAAAAAAAAAAAAAAACAGCAAGAAAAATGAAATATTGAAAATTTAAAAAACTTGAGTAGTTTATAAAGGAGTTATCATGTTAAGAGATATTAAGTGCTTAGGAAAGTCTTGTGGGGTTAATTGGTTAAATAACATAGGTATCTGCAGTGGCCCCTAAGTTGTGAGTTTATGTGATTTTGAGTTGTCATAACTCAATAGTGCTGGTATAGAGGTTGAGGGATCAGTGTAGGGTGACTGAGACTTCTAGTAACATTTTGTTTGGGGTCTATTTCTTCTTTCCTCATCCTCTGCTCTCCTTATTTTCTCAACACCTTTACGGCTACTGTTTATATTTGTGGGGGGTAATTATGTTATGACAAACATCATTTATCTAGATATTAAGCGCAATAGGACATCAAATCTTAATATAGTAGCAGTATGACGCTTTCCCTAATTTATCATGAAATTCTATGAATGTCTGAGCTAACTTTTGATTTTCAGGCTCGTCCTTTGCTAAACGAAGTACTTGATAACGAAGACTTTGATATGTTGGTGGATCCAAGGTTAGAGAAGAACTATAATAAGAATGAAATGTTCCGGATGATCGAGGCAGCTGCAGCCTGTGTGCGTCACTCTGCAGCGAAGAGGCCCCGAATGAGTCAGGTAATTTTATTCTTTACCATGAACATTTTCACAAAGAATGTGTTTTTTTTAAAAAAAAAAAATACAAGGAGCGAGGCGACATTAAGTTTTGCAGGGGGGAAAAGTTAAGCCATGAGGCCACGGCAAATTCCTACCAAGGATGTATTTGATGCAATGCCTTCTTGACTAACATCTAGGAATTTAATTGACATTTAAGATATCATTTGTGTTTGGTATGGTATACTAATAACCCAAATGACTTTGTGCGATCCAAGTTTATAGATAGTTTGATCTCATCTCTTTCATTACTATTTTTATATATTAGACAGTTTTGCTTAATTTTTATGAAATCTTGAGGCTTTTTTCCAATTGTCATAACCACAATAATGATTCATCTTAAATACTCCTCTAATCCTACATATAAGACCCATTTTATAGTGTAAAATTTATACTATAAAATGGGTAAGGAGTATTAATGTATCTTATATCGCAATAGTTGAGGTCAAGTGTGGTGTAACAACATGATTGGGAGAGATAATCGACAAGCATGGGGGCAAAAAAAACCTATAGATAATCTGATTTCAGAGATACTAATTGTGCATTCTTCCTGTTTTGCCCTTCATTTCCAGGTTGTGAGAGCTTTAGATTTGATGGATGAACTAGCAGATCTGAATAATGGAATGAAGCCTGGGCAGAGCTCAGTATTTGATTCTGCAGAGCAAAATGAACAAATCAGAATGTTCAGGAGGCTGGCTTTTGGAAGCCAGGATTACAGTAGCAGTTATTTCAACGACTCCCATAGTAGCTGGAGAAGTAGAGATCAGAGCCAACACCACACCACTACTACCTTCTCCCAAAATAGGTCCGGACCATGGAACGTGTAAAGCTTTCATCGCACCGATTTCGATCTTTTTCTGGTACTTCAGAGGAATCTAGCTAGAGAAAGAGATGCAATCCACTATTATCCATCTATTTTTCTCTTACGAATCGGAGCGATCTGGGCTGACATATATAGCTACCTGCTAATGATGACGGTTTCCCAGCGGAGTTGAAGCATCTCTTTGGATTAAGATGATTTATGCACAGCATAACTTCCTTGTTTTCTGTAAATTTCATCTATTATTCTTTTGGCCTTTTGGCTCTGTTTTTGTTCTTCTCCCCTTTTTGACATGGTTTTGTAGCTTTGCTTCGTATTATTTTTTTATTTGATATATTTTATCACATGATCATATGATTCTTACTATACATTTCTTCATTAGTCCAGATCGCATGCCCCGCTATTGGACTGTGTCCCCTTATAGTTTGGTGTTAATAGTAACATATAATGAAGTCTTTCACCAAATGTAAAATAACAAAAGGAATTACAGATTAATTTTATGAAATAATTATGAAAAAAAATATTAGAGCTGAAGATTTTTATTATACAATATAGCGTAATGCAAAAATGTCAGCAACTTTATGGACGGTGTATGGCTTGAGATGCGTACGTAAAGCACGCAATTATGTTTTTTCCCCCCCAAATGTAAAACAAATGAAAATGTCCACTTATTGTTTGAACAATATCTAGTTGATATTAGTGTGTGCGTGTGAATTTTATTTGGGGAAAATAACATGTAAAAAGAAGTTAAAAATTACAAGAGGTTAAAATCTTAAAAGAAAAGGCGATGTTTGATTTAGTATTTTACAAATGTAGCCAAATTACTAAAATTTCTTTGTATCAGATTTTCTAAAAATAAAAAAAGTTAATAAATTTGCTATTATTAGTATATTTCTTGTCATTGTTTGTTTAACACTTATTATTATCATTTCACAACTTATTAATAAATAAATTATCATTACTAATATATTTTTTTGTTATTTGCTGTTTAATTATGGTCATTATCTATTCATAACTTTTTAATAAATTTTTTGATACCAAGGCATTTTTGTATCAAACCCTTGCTAATATATAATTAGCAAGGATATTTTAAAAAAAAATAATATAAAATTATTATAAATAACTAGCTCAACAAATTTTTTTAATTTACTCAAATAAGTTAATTAGTTCTTATATTAAATATTAGAAGCAGTACTTTAGAAACATTTTTTTCTTTTGCCGACACTTTAGAAACAAAATTTCGCGTATGGCACAAAAAAAAAACCTACTAATAAAATATTTTTTAATTTAATTTTATTATTTATACAAGCAAAAACTTAAGCAGACCGACTTTTTTAAGGGCTGGACAAAAATATTTAAAAAAAAAAAAAAAACTCTCAACACTCTTCAGTCTTCATCCCTTGGTTGACTTGTTCTTCTTCAATGGAGTCTCCGGTGCCGAAGCACGCGGCGTGCGCGAGGGGAAGTAGCGTCCCAGAAGCCACGCCATGGCGACGGCGACGACAGCCCCAAATCCGCAAACGGCAAACAAACCCACAGCCAAAACCGACAGAGCCACGGCGGCCGGCAACCATATGGGGCTTGACGCGATGATCAACACCCAAAGGATAGTCACACCCGCAACACTCCCGGCGACGATCAGGCCGACGAGCGCGAGCAGCTCAGCTGTGGAGATCAGAGAGCGACGGAAAGGAAATGAAACAGGGATGGGGAACGTGAAGACCTCTAGGAGCTTGGATGGGCTGTGAAGTTGCCCTAGAATGAAGGTGATGGGGTTGTTCATGGCTGTGGAAAGGACCTTTGAACGGTCTATCTGAGGAATTAGTGATGATGTCTGTGACTCCATGATAGAGAAGAGTTCGAATCCTCTCTCTCTCTCTCTATATGGGGTTTCTGTGGAAAGTGAAGCGGTTTCGATGATGAATTTGGGAGGACAGAAATGGAGTTTATTGGCTTTGGACTTTTGTTTTTTTTTGGGTTTAGGTTTAGAATGAGCAGATACTGTTATGGAAGAAAATAATAAAGGACGGATTTTATACTAATTGTGTGGTTTCTCTTCGCCCAAAGGAATATTCTTTGGTTCGGAGACGTGTGAGTGTGCGCGCGCGCGTGCAAAGAGAGAGCCGTGGGATTTATACATTTTGGAATATAGTAATGCTTTCGCTTTGGGTTAAAGAAATCTACATAGGCTGATCAGAGAGACGTGGGACAGAGATTAACAAAGTATTTGAATAGAATCAAAACTATAATTTTAAAAAGATTTTTATAATATATGAAATAAATGTGTGAAAGAATTTATTTTAATATATAAAAAATATTTTTGAAAAATACTTTTTAGGATGTCTAAACGCTCCTGAGATTAAATAAATTCTTACCATACTTCTTACTAAAAGTTGCTTGGTTCTATGGTACATGTATGGGTTTTTTTACTAATACTCGATAAACAGTAAAAAAAATTTTTCCAAATATTACGTGGTGGAAATTATTTCCTCAAATGCTATATTGTTCAAGACTTGAACAGCTTTTAAAGTTTATTTAAGCAAAAACGAGTTTTTCAATAATTATCATTTTCCGTGTAACTAAATTTTAACTTGATATGAATAACTTCTAAACTTTATCACTTCTTGAACAATTTTTTTTATAATTTCTCACTACACACTGATCCCCTAAAATAATTTTAAAAAGATTTGATTATCACTTAAATAATGATAATAAGTAATGATTAAGTTTTAAAAAATTAACAATAAATAATGATTAAATTGATATGAACAAAAAAAAAATTAATTCACCTTACAAATAAAATGTTTTAGTACTTCTTGCCCATAAAACAAGACTCTTAGTATCATGTCTTGCTCTCCTCCACATATGTTATGTTTGTATATTCACTTTTTTTTTTAATTTAATCGAATATCTCATTTGTCTACATAGTTGGTGTAGTGGTCTCATACTGAAAAAAGTGAAGTTGTCCTACATAGTAAGTCCCACACTGAACTCGTTGTTGATGAGAAAGAGTTATTCAATCTTTAACGCAAGATCCACTAAATTCATTCTTAGCAAGAATGCGTTTTTCATGAATAATTTAAACTCGAACAGTACCTGAATAATTTTAAAATGTAACATCTCCATAAATATTTTTTATGCCATAACATTTGAGTAAAATAAATTACTATTTAAAGTATATAAATAAAAAATCCAAAGAACCACGATTAGCTATTAAATAATGTTTTTTGAAGTTGATAGTTAAAAGAGAATTTTTATTTCGGATTTTATAGCATTAAGGTAATTTTCTTAAATAGGAAAAAAATAAAAATATTTTGAACGGTCCAAATACCGGTGATTATTATTTTGATGTAAAAACAGTAAGTTATAGATGGGCTGACATAACTTAATAATAAATTTAAGAAATTTGGTCATAAAAAGTTGAAAACATATTACAAATCAATCCATTATAAATTTAGAAGTTTCGTGAATCTTAAATATTTTGTGAAAATTAGAAAACTAAGTCATAAAAAAACAAAATATTAGTTATAATAAATTATAAAATAATTTTAAATTTTAATTAAGAAAATAGAAATTATAACGTAAATTGTAAAAACTCAGTTGAAAATTATTAATAGCTCAACTAGGGGACTTAAAAAATTAACTAACTAATATAATGCATAATTTATATATAAATAATATTTTGATTTTTTATATTTAAATCCTTTAGTTTTTACATCTTATACTTGCGCAATCAATTTGTTTAGTTGAGTGAGGTGGTCTATCAAATGAAGCATTTGTTATCTCCAGTAATCAATTCTTTAAGTTAAATCACATTGATTTGATTTAAATATATATATGCCAACTACTAACGAGGGATGGCGGGTTGGGTTTCGTGAAAGGAGCTATTTCCCCACAGCATGATAAATTAAGGTTTGAATCCCTTGTATGCCAACTACGCAGATAAATGAGACATTTGATCAAATTCAAAAAGTAAATATACAATAACCACCACAACATATGCATAGGAGAATAAGATGTGCTACTAGAAGTCTTTATTTGTAAGGTAAATTAATTTTTATTTTTTGTTCATATCAATTTAATCATTATTTATTGTTAATTTTTTAAAACCTAATTATTATCATTATTTAAGTGATAATCAAATCTTTTTAAAATTATTTTAGAGAATCAGTGTGTGGTGAGAGATTACAAAGAAATTGTTCCAGAAGTGGTGAAGTTTAGAAGTTGTTCAGACTAAGATGAAGTTCAGTTACACAGAAAATGGTGATTGTTGAAGAACTCGTTCTTACTTAAATGAACTTGTTCAAGCCTTGAACAACTTTGACTATAGCATTTGGGAAATAATTCCCACCATGTAGTATTTGGGGAATTTTTTTAGTGTTTATCAGGTATTAGTAAAAAAAACCATACACGCATATACACACTACCTCTTATATACTACTCCTGATCTTAATATAAGATTTTTTAACTAACTTAAAGAGATTAAGAAAGTTAGTAAATTATTTAATATAATATATATCATATGATCTCTCTAAAATATTTACTTAGATCATTAAATTATATATCAATATAAGTAAAGCAAATTAGTTTGAATAAAAACAATAAATATAAATATTTTAAAATAACTTAGTAACTTTTTAAATTTTTTAAAATTAATTAAATAGATATTATAGAGGTAGTGTAAAATTAATCTCAATCTCTCTTTGTATTTGAAGTTTAACTGTTTTAGCGGCATCGGAAAACTCACTGAATTAAATATAGACACAGGCGTGCCATATATTACTTATCATATTTTTTAATGGAATAATGTATAATTTTACTTTTAACTTATTATTATAGTAGATTTTTATTTTCTTAAAAATGTATATATTAAATAAAAATAAAATTTAAAATTTAAAATTTAAATTTTTTCTTAATTTCTTTAAAACATGTTAGATGAATCTTGGAGTTAAAAATTCCATTGTGTTATAAAATTTGTCCAACATAGATGTTCTCACCTATTTTTAATTAAGGAAAATTATGCAAGCATTTTTGTAAATTTCTAAAACACTTTAAAATGGATTTCCTATGTGGACTTCCATATAAATCATGTTTTATTTCACTAAACAAAATATTTAATACTGGTGAATTGGTTAATTTATTTTAAGTTTATAAGTCCCGCCAATTTATGTGATTTAAGGAAAAACACTCAATATATATGTGACTCTTTTTTTTTTTTCTTTTTTCTTTTTTGGACTCAGAAGTTAAAGGGACATCAAATCACTTCTAAACCCAATCCAACTACATAAAATGCTAACACTTTACATATCTTCGGCTTTAAAAAAAGTTTGTCTTTAATAAGATGGTAACCATTCACATGTTACATTTTCATTAAGACAAATAAATAACAATAAATAACCCTAAAAATCAACTTCTTTACTTGATCATTTTTTAATCTACTGAAAGCAATTCTGCTCAAAACACTATCAGACATATGGCTACATCTTTCAATAACAATTCGAATCCTGATTTACCACCTTGTGATGAAACTAACCGTTTCCATTAAAATTTAGCTCACCTTATCTTTAAAAATCTATAAATAATAATTTATGTGACAAGCTCAATTTGTGTTAGGATGAAGCCTCTCTCGAGCAGATCTAACACCCTCCATCTTCAACATCTCAAGCAGGATATCACTCCACGTGTCAATGGGCCCAGGCAAGCACCAATGAACGCAATCATTGTACAAAGTCACATTCTCATTAGCTCTATGTCCATACCTACTTGGATGCCCATCAGGTCTCATCAACATCGCCTGTGTCGTATCAAAAACCCTAAATTTCAAACCTTTCTTCCTCGCTTCTTTCATGGCGCTCTTAAACTCCTCCATTTGTATCATATAAAACTCCGAGTTCATTCCCTCCAACTGTACCTCATTGCTCTTAAATGGCTTCGTCCTCACACAATTTCCACCTTCGTTCCACAGTCCATTTTCAAAGTGTGATGGCGCAAAAGTTCTCAGAAACGTAATGCCTTTGAAGTTTTCTGTGTTTATGATCGTTCGGAAGGCGGTTCGGAAGGCTTTCCGGTAACCGTAGTACATGGTTAGGTCGGGGACGTTGGGGAGGAGGCAGTAATGGCAGCCCACGACGGTTTGTTTCTCGTAGAAGACCATGGACCTCATGAACCAGTGGCCGCCGTTGAGGATGATGTAGTCGAAGCTGGCGATTTCTGCGGCCCACCTTTCATCCGGCTCGTCGAGGTAGAGGTTGTAGATGCCGGAGTTCGTCGGACCGCCGGCGTCGGCCTCTTTGGATCTGACTAGATGCGGCGTCCAGAAGGTGGCCATGGTGAAGTTGTAGCTAGGGTACCTCCAACGCTTGAAATAGTCGTCTTGGGTCAATGATACATCTATTGGCCATTCTGCCTGAAAATTTAAGACCAAGGTTTAATAATATTAGTTATGATCATAATATGAATTAGAATGCATTAGCTAAAGAAAGTAAACTAAATCTTTAATTATATAATCATAACAATGGTGAAAGACTTAAAAAAAAAAAAAAGTACGAGTATGTATGAGATTGATTTTTTCTTTCAATTATAATTATTTATATTTTTTGTCTCTTCACAACTGTCATATATTTATGATTATAAACCTAATTAGGTGCCAAAGTCAAGACCTAGATCTTTTCGTTTACTTATTAATTGGGTGCATATAATACCCCTAAGAAACAGAAAAGTAATAATTTTATTAATATTTTGTATAATTACTTTTCCATTATAAAAGTGTCAATAGCATTTATGACTATAAAATATGTGTTTGATTTTAGAAGAGTTCTTAATGATATTCTTTGGGAAAGATAAACATCATGAGTAATTCAATTAAACCTACTCTTTTTTTTTTTGAAAAATTATTTTATAGCCACCTATAATTTTTCTCAAATTTTAATTTGGTATAAAACACTTTAATTTTACTTTATCAGCAACATCAGCCTTTGTAATTTTCCTGTTAGTACTATAACAAAGTAAAATTATAGCGTTTAATTAAGGGGAAAAAACACACATATACAAATTAAAAATTGCAAAAAACTATAAATAACTGCAAAAATGATTTTCTCTTTTTTGGGAGAAAATGACAGAAAATTAGGTTCGTTTCCTAGATTTTAACTACATTTAATTTGTGAACAACACCACAATTTTTAGGAATTTCTGATATGAGAATATGCAATAATTTTCATGTTGCCCCCCCTTTTTCCAACAATTAATCCTACTCTTATTGTAATATTTTTTTTAATCTTAATTTAATTTCCTGGCTAGTGAAAAGAAACACAGCATGTTACGGTGAAGGAATTCTAAGGATCCAGCTAATATATAACTGCATATATTATTTGTAAGCTAAGAGAACTTTTAGGCAAGAAACAGAAAGTGGTATTAATAATAATGCATTACAGCAATAGGGCACAATAATTCATAATCATGGTGGCTTTTCATACACGTCATCTCAATTTAAATATTCTAGAGGCCCCATCATATCTATCTTTTTGGTTTCCATGAGCTTCTAAGAATTCAAACCTAACATTCAAATGCTCAATAATAAAACTATATTTTTCTTCTCTTCAATAAATTCACTTAATACTAATAATAACTATACAAGAACAAACTATATGGCTTGTGCTGTGTTTTTTAAATGCATATTTGTTTGAAACTATAATAATGTTAAGGGCATTACAGTACTTGATTGTTTCATCCATATCATTCAATAAAGACATTACAGTAATTACATTGTTTTTATCATTTAGTCCATTGGATTTTCAATAATAATTAACCATTGGAAATCATAAAAGGCCCTATAAATCATTATAGTTTCTATTCTTATAGTAGCCACTCTTTTTTTTTTTTTGGACTCACTTATAGTAGCCACTCTAAACCATCAACAAATACTCAACATCTAAGGACACAGTTTGCCACATAATTTAATTATGCAGATATTAACAAAAGACCTAACCGTATGCAAGTTGATATAATAATATTGTCAAACTCAAAGAAACTTAATATACCAATTTGATAATTATTATTAGTATTGTTACTTCTTAAAACCTTTAGAATTTGACTCTACTCACTGTTTTTGGAGTTCGTCAGGGGTGGGCAGATCCTTTTCTAAAAGTTTTTGTCTTGGAAATTTGAACCCGTTATGTTATTATGGGTCTATTTGGGATAATAGTAAAAATATCTTATAAACACGTTTTACAAATCGAGATAAAACTTTTCTCATATACTTGTTTCGTATTCTGTAAATCACAATTAAAAAGTTACTTATAAACTATTTTAAACAGGCCCTAAGGTAACCGTGGTTGTGGGTGATATTGATATTGCTATTATTAACTAATTTTTAATTTAATTACATCACTTATCACATGTGCATTTGCTATTAATTTACCAAAACTGGATGAAATCAATCTGTATTAGGGGGGGGGGGAGTCCTCTAGATCAGAAGGCGAATAGAATGAAAAGAACAATCAATATGACACATAACAAACAAAATATTAATGAATAATGAAGCAAACCCCCTTTCCGACCTAAGAATGCAAGCACGCATGCGCACATACACATATCTCTTTCCAGAAATTGAGAACTAAACCAAAGAAAAAAAAACAAAGCAAAAATAAGAAAAGCAAAATGCGGCTGGGTTATTATAATAATAATAATAATAATAATAATAATAATAATAAGTGGGGTTGATAAAGTTTCATGTGGCCAGTTAGGGAATTGGAAGACATAAAGTAGAGACTGCAATTTGGATGCGTTTGGCAGAATGGGCAGACCAAGATTCTTTGGCATCTTAGGATTCTTTTCTTCATCTTATGTGCTTCTTTGCATGTTACTCCCATTTTCATCGTTCATTAATTATTAATCACCTAATCCTTGAATTTCACAATGGCTTAGCTCAACTAACTAGGAGTTGGTGAGATTATTAATTATAGAGATAAGATCCAAGAAACCAGTGGAGCCTATGTTAAAGCTAAATTTGCATTTGAGTGCCCTAATTTATGAAATTTAATCACATTAACCAATATGACAAACCTTATATTGGTTAGTCTACATTTTTTTCTAGTTTTTGTTTCAAGCCATATGTCTAAACACATTCTATTAAATAAGAAATGAGTTGTATTATTTATATATGAGATATATAAATAATGAAGCTTTTAGAAATTTTATATTTCATACTAATAATTAGATATATTTGGGATCATGAACCTATGGTATGATTAGTATGCAACTATGTATCCATCACGAAGATATAAACTTCCCTGATAAGCTGGTCAGAGGAATAACTTCATTGGCAAGGATAATGATGAGAAATCATAACTTTTTTGCACCTTGGCAGATTTTGTAAGCTATAAGTTCAATCACACACACACACACACACAAGTAAAAGGAAAAGTTCTTTAGGTAATAATTAGGGTCATTTTGGCTCTACACTTTGAGTAAAGATGTGTAGAATCAGACACACACACTTGACGTTCCGACCAAGCAATACTTTAAAGGGGGGAAAATAAAAGATAAACCACCTTTAAAATAATTTGATAATCTCAAAAACAAAACTGAGATGAATTAATAATGCGTGCGTTTTTTTTATTTTGACTAAAAATTTAGTTCTAGTCCTCACTAAATATATTTAAACTTACTATTTACTTTTCTTAATTATATTAAATTTTTTAAAACTTAATTAGCCGTCAATTATTCAAAAGTCTGGCAACACCATTATTTTCTATTCCATATCCTTGTTTAAAATCTAACACTAAACCTATATACCTAACTTGCTTTATTTAATATACCTAAGATTCACTGCCCAAATATAAAAATACTCCGAGATTTGACATTAAATTTTGGACAGAGATATGAGATGGGAAAAGACACCATATGCCTAATATTTTACTAATTAAAATCTCACCCATTTATAGTTATTAATACAATTTAGCTTCCAAACCATATCACATATCAAAATTAAGTATATTTCCCACAAATTAATAAATTATAATTTAACAAAATCAGTAATAACAATTAGTTACTATAGAGTAACAAACACCTAAAAAACTGGTAATCTTAAGGGCGAAGAAGAATTTACTAACCCTTGAAAGTAGGCAAATCATGGACTGCATCTGGTTCCTTCCAATGGAATCTCCAACGAAAGCCATAGTTTTGCCTCTCACAATCTCCAGAAACTGAAAGGGATTGAAGATGGGAAGGTCACAGCCATTGGGTTTCCATCTCCATTTCTGGAACTCAGAGTCTGGTCTTCCGTACTTCATACAGTTCTGGTGTTCATGGATGGCCCAGCACGTGGTGTTCTTGTAATATGGAGCCTTAGGGTTCGGAACCCACTCGCCGGTGAAGAGATCGCACATGGTTATGGAGGTCGACGGCAGACTCGTCGACTCGTTCAGATCATCAAATGCAGAAGATGAAGGAGAAGATGAAGATGAAGAAGAAGAATGGTGATATCGGAAGAGAGGGTTTGATAAAGGAGAGATTGTGAATAGAAGAATGGCTAAAACTGCGAGTAATGTTACTTTTGGGATCATTTGCTTTGGACTGTTCTTCCCAAACAGAAGCTCCATGAATTGGAACTTCATCTTTGAGACACAGAGATCAGAGAGAGAGAGAGAGAGAAGAGGGAAGAGAATCAATGAGGTTATCTTAGATCTGTTAATATATAATGTGTGTTTTTTGAGATGAGATGGATTCATTTAATAATATTTTTCAGTGTTTTTGGATGATGATTAGTACAAACCATGGACTGATTTAATTTTTATATTAATAAGCATTTCCTAATCATTAATTAACTCAAGGTAAATGCCGATTTTTTAGGGGGAAAAAAAGACTGGTTTACTAATGATGGGTGTCTTCAAAATTCGGCTAAAATATCATTAGCCATCATACTTATTTAAGTTAATAAAATTAAAGTTAAGTAGTTCTAGGGATATTGAGATTTTTTTTTTTTACTTAGAATATGTATGTATTCATATAATTTGTGAACAATAAGAGTCTCTTTATGAGTTTTATAATTGATATTGATTATCATCTATAATGATAAAGGATTAATTGATAATGTTTTCTTGGCCAAGTTTAATTAGCATATTGATTTGACAATTAAATTGCTTATCAATGCATTAATTGATTAACTTTGGATATTGAAATCATATAAAAAAATTTCTTTTATATATATATTTATATGAAGGATTTGAATAATTGGGAGGCACGTGACGCATCTCATGAATGCTTTTGCTTTGATCTGATCTCTCACATCCATTTCCTCAAGACCTCGTGCAATGTTTTGGGGGGTTTCAAAGTGGTAATATTTTAATTTTGTGAAACCCAAATATTATTTAATTGATCAAAGTTGGACTTTCCTTTTCAGTTCATTCCAATATTACTAATTAATTTGGATGTCTTTGCATGGATGCAAAATATCACATAATTAATGGGAAAAAGGCTGTAAAAATTATTACAATTATACATGCTTATTTCATATGGTTATTTACATTTATCAAATTAAAAGTTTAGGTGCGCATTTTTGGTGAAAATGTCAATTATTCATTAAAAACCCTACGTGCCAAAAGGAAAATAAATTAGGCTGCGTGCTTGCATTTATATGGCTCCTCAAATGCTGCGTTTTTTTTTTCCTTGATAGCGACAAAGTTAAAAAAATAGATTTTTAAATAAATTTAATACGTTAATTGTTCTTCCTTAAATGAAGTCACTGGTAATAAGCAGTGAAGTGATATTTTCCATCATTTAAAAGGAGAAAGGGGAGCACACCTCCTTAATTATGCTTATTTCAGCTTAAAATATTTAGAGCTTTAATTTTTTTATCACTTATCAGGTTCTAAATATAGGACTTATTTGTAGTTTTATTTTATACTGTAAAATGGATTCTATATTTAGAACTAGGAAAATTTATACACTACAAAATGAGTCTTAAGATCATAGGGGTATCTACAAAATAATCATTAAAGGTGGGCTTCCAACTTCTCACTAAAACAAAGTGCTTAATTTAATAGAAAATGGTTGTACCTATTTATGAAATATTATAATCTAATTATAAGTCTGCATGGAAAAAAAATGACACATGGTTATATATGATTGAAGAATTTGACATAATGGATATAAGAAATTTCATTTAATTATTTTCCTTTAATTAACTCACTTATACTATACTAACTCCGGTCCTTAATATAAGAACAAATTGATTAATTTTAGTAGATTAATAAAATTGGCTAAGTTAGTTATTTGTAATAGATAGATATTGTCTTTCATAAAATACCCTTACTAATCAAGTATCATTTGATGAAATATTTAATATGTGAATTAATACAAGAACTATCTTGAAAAGAATGGATAAGTATGAGAGATAAAGTGAATTGAAATTTTAAATTTTAAATTAAATTAAAAGTTAAACTAGTTTTTACATTAAGAACCGGAGATAGTACCTTTTTTTTTTGGGCCTCATCAAAGATATGATAGTGAGAGTTATGGGCTAGCGTTTGGTATAGTTGGGCCTCTAACAGAGTAGGATCCAATTACTCTTGGGCCTGTTGTCATATGGCATGATAAGGGGAAGAAGTTTTAACTTCAAATCAATGCTCAGAGAACCCAGCTATTAAGAGAGTGTTTAGATAGAAACCAAACCATGATTTTAGAAGCGCTTTTGTAGTTTACAAAGTAAATATATGGAGGAGTTTGCTTCGTTTTGTGGAAAAGTGCTTCTGAAACTATGGTTTGGAGGTTGCCAAACACCCCCTAAATCAATGAAGACATGGATTTAAATTAATGGTTAGACTAACAACCAATAGGATTGAGTCTAGCAGAAAAGACTAGACTCTTATAATATAGTAAATTAAGATTTTAATTTTTGCTGGAAGAGTTACCCACATTTAGTATTCGACAGTGTTTTGAACATGATTATCTTCAATGGAAAAACACTCATGCTCAAGAGAAAAGGGTCAGGCTGGTCTTTCTTTTGGGCAAAAGAATGGTCCTTAATTTATATTTCAAATAATATATTTTTAAAATTAAAAAAATTTAAATATTTAAATAAAATACATATATTCTAAAATTATAAAATAAATTATAATATAAATATATATATTGGACGAGCACTGTAGTTTAGAAATGATGGAATCCATCATTTAAATCGTTTTAACTTTTCATCAATGGATCTAGTAAATACAAATACATGATTCATTTTATATAGACTTCTAAAGGATTGAGTGATTCTTGGCATATTGTGTTTGACATATCTAAACCTTTGTGATTGACACAAAATTTTGTGATTAGCATAATGTTAGTTCAGATTCTTAATACAAGATTTAATTGACTAATTTAAAAAAATTAAAAAAATTAGTTAAACTAGTTATTTGTTATAAATAGATATTATTTTTCTTAGAATACTCCTGTTAATCATGTATATTAGCTAGAATTACCATTTGATAAAATCTTTAATATGTGCAACTACTATAAGAACTACTTTGAAAAAATGGATAAATATAAAAAATAAAGTGGATTAGGGCCTTATAATTAAAAAAAAATTAAAAATCAAACAAGCTCTTATAATAAAAAATGGAGCTAGTATATAGTACTCCTCCGGTCCTTAATATAGGACCTAATTCTTGAGTTGGTTTTGGTCCTAAATATGAGACCCATTTATCATATTTATTAATTTTCTCTAAATTACCCCTATAGATACTCCTTCAACCATAATCAAGTAGAAGAGGGAGAGGGGTATTAAGAAAGATGATTATGGTGTTTTAGGAAAAATGTGTCATTTTTCTTATAATTAACTAACTTACCTAACTTCCTTAATCTAATCAAATTAGTTAAATGGGTCTTATATTAAGGACCAGAGGAGTATAATTCATGCAACCAGAAGTTAAAAGACAAGTTAGTTAGTTTGAAAAAGTCACTGGGCTCGTTGGCAAAAAATGAAAAAGAAAAAGTCACTGGGCTAGACCGGACCAGCCGGAAAACCGAAACAGACTAGACCCCGGGCTAATGTTCGACCCGGTCTGGTCTATGTTCAGCCCAATTCGATCAAACACTAGCCGCATGCCAGCGATGCCCCGAGTTGGGCGAAGAAAACGGAGGGAGCACAGGACGCAGCGGAGCACAGCGGACGTTGCGGCGCAGGACGGCGGATGTCGAGACGAAGGTAAGAGCACAAGTCGGCGAAGCGCTGAGGAGGAGGACGGTAGACAAAGGTGATTTTTCATATCAATATGCTTTTCCTAGATTTAGTTTCTACGCGTTCTTCTTCTTGTATTTTTCATAGGGATTATTCTTGTTTTCCTTATCTTGTCTAAGTATACTTTAGACTTCTTGGGGGCGGGGGGTGTGAATCTGCCAAGTTCTTCGTTGAAAGGGTTGACTCGGACACATCTTGGCCGGGCAATCCGCACAACTGTTACTTTCCCTGTATACATGACGAATTTCGACCATCCATTCTCGCTTTAATAGCTTTTTAATCCATGCTTCAACCCTTGGCAATCTGTGATCTGCTTGTTAGCGTTGATCTCTTCCACCATCCCGTGGCACGTGGACTCCACCTAACCATTATGACTGATTGTTTTGCTACCTGTAGAGTTTCGCCCTCCCATTTCTGCTAATAATACCTCAGAAAGTCTTTAATGGTTCTTTCCGTATTTTGTGGTCTCTGAAATTCCTGTTGATGGATGTGTGCACTCCATATAAACCAACAAATAGTCGCAAAGACTTATGGCCAACCATGATCCTCTTCTGTGTGACCACGGAATTCCATATTTAACTTCAACCAGCTCGTCCAGTCTGCATGTTGAAATATCCCTTCTCTCTCATAGGGAACAAGCTTCTTCCACACCTGTGCTGCATAAGGACAGTCATGTAATGCAAGTAATATTGAAATATCCTCTTTCTGTACCCCCATTGCTTTCTGGTTTACTATTATTTTTTTTTAATCAGAACACACTTGCATTAAAAAATATTTCACTAAATAACTTACACAAATTACCTAGTCTCTTATTACACTTGCATTATCTCCCCCGCATCAGTATCGCTGTGTTAAGTAACTAGCCCCTCACAGGCGAGTCACAATAGGCTGTGTGGCTCATTATTTCAGGCTCAATTAGTCTCTCATTAGTCCTCAAGTAATTCTAACAACTTTTGTGAACCTGAAGAAACCCAGACTTAAACTACAAAAAAAGATTACTTCTAGGGATGGCAACAGAGCAGGTTACGCAAGCTTTGGCCTGAAAGGCTCTCATTTTGGCAAACTAAAGTGTGAAACTTAATTCTACATTTTCAAGATAACCAACCATTATGTATAACTTGTACATGATTGCCATAGCCTAAACTGCAAACTTGTACAAATTTCAGACCCCCAAGAGTAATTGCAACGATAATTTATGCATTACACAGAATTTGGCATTCAGAGTTTAGCGAGTTGAAGAGACAATCTTGCGCTATAAGTGAACCACCTGTTGGGAAAAATGTTTTAGGTACATTCTTTATCAGCTGAAAACGAAGTTAGGGTACAGAAAAGAAGGGAAGGAAAGGCACAAGAATGAAAGTGAACCATGCATAGATGCAAGAACTATATTCAGATTCACTGACGGTATTCATTCTCCACTCTTTCTTCCCTCCTCTGTTTCTTTCTACAATATAGACGTGTGATAAATGGTGATTGATTCATTCAGCATTGCAATGTTTGAAATAAGGGTTTAGCTTTGGACAAGCAAACATGAAAACTATAATACAATAAATTAGCGCTGGAGAAGAGGTGGTCAAATAAGCATAGGAATCAAAATGATTCGGTTCCCGTATAATTATACATTTGTTGCATCCAAAGTTTTAGCTAAACATTTAGTGTATCTATGTCTAGCTTGCGGCTTTACGGAGTGACATATCTGATAACGCATCATCCAAATTCGTCCGTTACTCTGAAGGTGAATTATTGCAATTTGGAGCAAAAGATGAGCATTATCTCGTTCTTCATCTTTTTTGTCTCGTTAAAATCGACCGTTTCCCAAGTCAACTGTATGAAATTTTACTGTAATCGAAAAACTCAAGCTGTATGATCTAATAAATAAATTGAGCAGGAGCCTGGGGGATATAGACGGTTTCAATTCATAAAGTGGCCAACATTTCGTAATGGGCATCTAGGCAGAGCCTTAATAGTAGACGCAGTTCAGCCTCGCAAATTATTGCTGTAAACGAGTAAATTTCTGAGGCGGCTTGTGCAGCAAACAAAGAAGTGACTAGCCCCGCAGGAAGAACAGGCAGAAATTACCAGGCTTCAATGGTGTTTCGGGGAAGACAAAGTTCACCCAAAACTACAGATAGTTGCACTGACGCATTAGTCAGTTAGTTAACGGTTCTGTGTCTTCTCATGTATATACTCTGTAATTTCAGTTATGCAATGACAAGTTATTGTCTGTTTCATCCTTCTGGAGATTCTCCATATGGCTTATTAATCTTATGATGAGAGATACTTGCATCATAAAATAAATTAAGATTACTTTCTTCTCTTGGATCCTAGCAGAAATGAACACTTGGGAATTGCATATTCCTTTTATATTCTCTTATGACTGTGAACTTATGTGATTGTTTATTGCTGTCGATTTGATCCTCTTAATATAGCAACTTTGTGAAGAAATTTTGTTTCTTCATATGGTGGATGTGTATATGATTTGTACCACTTTCCAGCATTATATCTTTAATGATGGTTTTCAGGAAAGGAGTAAGCATATTATGGGTGAGTTTACTATTCAGATTAGCAGAGGCCTTGTTGATCGGCTTGTTCAGGATGCGGATATGTCAAAGAGAACTAAAAGAACTAAAGGGAAGGCATCAAGAGAGCCTCCTGCAAGTCAAAAGCAAACAGAGGATGGTTCTGTGAAGCCCAAGAGAGAGGCATGGCCACTGCAGCCTCCTCCTGTGTTCCTGCCAGCAACTTCGGAGTTAGAGGCCATAAGATCTGCGGTTCAGGAAAGTGAGAAAGCTGTGGAGCGATTGCAGAAGGAGGAGGAGAACGTGTTGGAGAAAGTAACCCAAAAGGCGAAGGAGTTGCGTGATAAAGAGTATAAGCTTCCAAAGCCAAAGCCCAGACCATGCAGTGGTGACAGTGAGGCTTGCTTGGCATGTTACAAGGAGCATGTCAAGGATCCCTTGAAATGTGCTAGTCTGGTTATAAATTTTGCCGACTGCGTGCGCAGGTTTAGACAAGAAGTTGAACTCAGAAATGTCTGAACACGAAAATTTTGCACAAATCCATGGAAATAAGCATTTTTGTTTAATATCACCCAAAACTGTTCTTTTGATGTGCTTGGAACGTACTTGGGTACGCCCATTCCTATCCCTGGCCCAACTCTACAAGCGACCGTTAGGTAAAAATGTTGTTATAAATTGTTTAAAGAAGATTCTTATTGCTGATGCATGTCTCTATATGCTACTTAAAGGAATCATGCTTATCATTTAAAATTATGACATGTTAAAATTCTGGTCGAGTACTTTATTAGCCAACACAAAAACTTTACTTTTAATAGCATCGTTTGAATTAAATTTAAATTTGATTTTTTAATTTATAATTTTTCAAATTGAGAGTTATAATTTTCAATTTTTTATTTTTTAAAACAGAAATATAAAAAGCATTAGCCCGCATATATATAAATATTGGGAAAAACATAACAGCAAAATTAACTGTCAACAATTTAATGAGTCATAAAAGCAAAAAAAAAAAAATTTTAACGTGAAATTATACCTATAAGTATGCCCGCTAGATAACGATTTAATAACTTTATTAACGTCTTTTTTAATTTAAATATTATTTTAATTACAACTGCTCTGTATATCCCGATTTAAATCACAAACTTTTGAACCACTGCGTGGATTGGTTGATTCATGGATGCGATTTTGAATACTTTGAATTGAATTAAGGTCCCACTTGATTTATTAGCAAGATGAGGTTTTTATTTGAAAACATGGACGAGGATTGTCGTGTCTTGTCCTAAATAATACTATCTTGGATTCTAAATATAAGAGTTAATTTTTTTTTTGCCAACTAAATATGAGTTAGTTAGGGATCATAAATATAAGATATCAATCCACCTTATCTTTCAAATTTATAATGTTTTTAAAAATATTCTTATTAATTGTAAGGTATTTCCAGCTGAACATAGTCGTAATGTACATGATTGAATAAGGTTAATTTAGAAAAATCAACGTAGATTTATTACATATAACTAACTTAACTAATCTTTTAATTTTTTCAAATTAGTTATCTAGATCTTATATTAATAATTGGAGGAAGTAATTGACCCTCAACTTATTTTATTTAAAAATTAAAATTGAAGAGGGAAAGCAAAGTACTCAACCTTAATCTCTGGTAGCTATCTGATGGCTACTTGCTGCTGTCCACTGCTCAAGATAGTGATGCATCTTTTTATATGTACGTATATGCCCAAAACTAAACAAATTATAAAATTAAATAAAATAAATAGCAGGGGATGGAATTCCACCACAAGAACCTGTACTAGTTTTTAAAAAACTGGACCACCCTATATTCAATATTATTGTCACGTTTTAAAATGCATTGTCTTAAGTTTCTGACAAATATTAAATGCATATTTATTGTTAAACTCCGAGGGATTGAATCGGTGATGCAGGGTCTTTGATAGCAGGGGATCCTCCTCTGTTTTTTTAATAAATCCTATTTTTGAAGATTGTAATGATAATAAATATATATCACAAAACTTGGGTATAAATCCCTCCTTGAGAAATTAATTGATAAATAATTCTAAAAAATTTTATGTAACTTAACTTTTCTTGTGTATTATTTAACTTTCCTATGATCCATCATTCTTTGTATGCAATCATATTCCCTTTTATGATATCTGCCTTTATACAACTGAACTTTTTTTTTTTTGTATGTAATCCACTTTTATTTTTTGTATGATCCATCTTCCCTATATGCAAACTAATCTTTTTTCTTTTGCCAATCATATTTTTTATGTATAACTTATTTTTCCTTGTACAATTCATTATTGTCGGGACAATTTGTCAATTAGTTTTTCAATAAAAAAATTTGTACCCAGTTTTCCCATATAAGTGATATTGCAAAATGTCTAGAGTATTAATTTTTTTCCATAAATATTCTTGTGTTAAAAATTGATTTGTTCACTCTCTCTCTCTCTCTCTCTCTGTGGTTTAGTAAGCCATTCTTGCAGTGAGAAGTGCTACCATGAGGCACCCTTCATGCCACTGCCACAGCAAAGGTGCCCCCGTTGACTTTCCCTTTTAGTTAGAGGAAAATTTCTTTTTGCCGTACAGTTAGAAGAAAGCTGCCGTTAGAATTTAATGAATTTAAGGGTTACCTTAGAAAATGTAGTTGTAACTGTTGTAAAGTTAAGCACTTAAAAAAATTGCGACCAATTTTGTGACATGGTGAACAAAGTTTCAGTCATAATTTTATGCAATCTATAATTATAAATATAAGCTCTAATTTATAGCGCAAATTAGATTACAATCCTGAATATAAAATTCAGTTTGTAATGTAAATTACATTAAAAACTAAATTTTATATTTAGAATAAGAGGTAGTATGATATTAAATCTCATCCTCTAATTTTTTTAAGGTAAGAGATAAACTCTTCCGAGATATTAAAGACAGAGGACGACAAACTTCTCTTTGCTAAGCTATTACGTACATAAGAATTAGAATTAATATTCTTAATCACTTGTTTAAATGATTCAAATTCCTAATGTTTATGTCAACTCGATATGGTTCAATCATGGTTTTAATTGATATCTATTTGAAAATAAAAAACAATGGAACTAGGGCAAGGCATACCTTGAAACTTAAAAAATACTTTCAAATGTACTCGTTGATTGTCCACTAACAAGATCATTACATTAGACGACAGAATTTAAATTCATAATTTTGTAAGTTATGAGCTGAATTTTTTAGCAACGGGACTCTTGTTAATTTTAAAAAGATATCTAGTTATGTGGGATTCAAAATTGGCCACTCACCATCCCAACTTCCATTGGCCCTCACATAAATTTTGGCACAGCTATTTTCTTTTTTCTATTTTAAGAAGATTTTTATGCCTGATGCATGTCCATACAAACAAATACTATGTTACTTAAAAAATCATACTTCCCATTCAGACCACTTATTAAATTTTTTTAAATATTATTTCCAAGATTTTTAATAAAATTGCAACATGTTAAAATTCTGCTGAGAGTATACTTCATTAGCCAGCAGAAAAATTTTACTTTTAATAGGATCACTTTAAGTAAATTTAAAGTTTATCTATTTGATTTAAAATTTTTGAAATAGAGAGTTACAATTTTCAATTTTTAAAATCAGGTTGTAGTATCAAATTTTATTTATTTAACGTTCTTATTACAGAAATAAATAAAACTTAAAAATTATTATTAAACAAATTATTTTTTTATTATCATATGGTTTTTTCTTACAAGAAATTATTATTATTATTATATAAAGTAGTTCACTTCAAGTAATCAATGCTTATTGGCCAGAAAAATAATAAATGTTTAGGATCATGAAAATCAAAAAAGGAATATATATAAAAATTAAAGTTTAGCCTGTCAGATATATATGAGAATACCTAATCGCTTGAAGTTAATGCGTGGTCCGCTTTCTTTCGTCTCAAGTCCCTACCTTCCTTCTCCTTCTCCTTCTCCTTCTCCTTCTCCTTCTCCTTCAAACTGTTCTGTGCTTCCCCAGAAACCAAACTTCAATACTTGAATATTAATTCAGCCCACAAGAACCTTCACAAGGTACTTTATTATCTTCTCTTCTCTTCCATGTCTCAATCTCTGAATTATTCTTTCTGTGTTTGATATAATTCTTTTCTCTGCTCTGATTCTGGTGATGTGTTTTCGTGTACGTTGTCCCAAGGAATTGCAGAGGGCGAAAATGGCGAAGAAGGGTTTTGGGAGGCTGATGGAGAATCTGAAGACGAAGATAAGCAAGTCGCTGAAGATGAAGAATCATTATAACGATAATAACTATAAAGATTATGAGCAGGTGGAGAAAAGTGAGAGTATGAGGGTTGAGATTCGCAGCAGAAAAGCCAGAAAGCTCATCGAAGATACTCTCAAGGTTGCTGATTCCCCCAAAATCAAATCCTTCGCTTTCTGATTAATTTTATAGTAATCAACCCTCCTTCCTAATAACTCTGTATGTACCCTTCAAAAATTACATAATTATATAATGTTATGTTATTTGCAACTCCTATCTCTCTCTCTTTCTAATCTCTGCTCATAAGAGACATATGCTAACTTACCCAGAAGTTTCATGTTTAAGGGGATGTTGAAAACCAAACTATAACTTTAAAAATGATTATACGGTAAAGAAATTTATGTCGATTAACGAAAAAATACTTTTAAAAAGTACTTTTGGGGTACCCAAACACCTCTTAAATCTGCAATTACGTTAAATACTTATTGGAAGAGCTTGTCGTCCATAGAAATCCTGAATAACTTGGTTGGGATTAGTTGGAGAACTCCAAGCACTGGATATGGCTGCAAAAATAAAACAAAGTCTCTCTCTAATCTCTCTCACCAATCTAATTATCACTGAAAATTTTGCAGTCTGAACAGTGGGAGGGGACATAATTAGCAGTAGTGGTCCTATCTTGAATTTATGCTGCTCTATGATATAGAAACATGCATCAAGTCATATAATTATGAACTTAATGAAACTAATTAATTAATTAATTCAAATTTAATCTTTATCAACAAGCGATACCCAGTAGTGTTGATTTTAGAGAGAGTCATATATATAGACGTTGGAGCTTTAATTATTATTTTCTCTCTGTTTTCCACTGATTTTCTGCCATATATGGTTTGTGTGATTATGTAATTAGAGAGATTGGAACTATGGAATGTTGAATTTTTGTCAGAATTACGAGTGTTCTTTGTTTGTTTGTTTAGCTTCAGAATTTATAGTAAGTTTTAGAAGATCAGAGTAAATTAATTTGTTAATATTTGTGTCCAAAGATTTATATAAAATTAAATGTTCTAAGTTGACTTTTTTTTTTTAAATGCATTGGAAAAGGCTCCGATGAAACATGCAAAACCGTCCACAAGTATGTGACCGTTTCCCAAAAAGTAAGTGAGCTCTGCGGTTATGGATGATCAAAAGTAACCTCCCAAGCTACCCAACGAACAATCAATGAATCACATTAACTGCAAACACCACCTCCACACCCCCTCCCAAAAAAAAAAAAAAAATTCTTTTTTGTGCCAGAAAAAAAACGAAATGAAAACTAGCAACAAACACATAGTCCATGTAAAAACAAAAAAGAAGTCCAATTTGTTCTAAAGTGATCAATTTTTGCAACTTTGCTTTTGGTGAAATGATATGATTTAATTGTTTTCAATTTTAAACTTCAATTAAGGGTTAAAATGTAAATTTGTTTTAAAAATTTTACTCATAAGCACTTGGTATTTGAAAGTTTCTATCGATCCAAATTTGTCCTGATAGTTTAAAATCATAACAATACCATTTATACCGTTAAAAAAGAAATGCCACCTATTAAAATAGTGATATTAACTATTAACATTTTTAATAAAGGATAACATTACTATGATTTTAAACTTTTAAAACAAGTTTGCATCCAAAAAAACTTCTAACAACCTAGTGTCTTAGTAAAAAATTTTAGCAAAAATTTGCAACTTAAACCTTAATTAAATTTTAAAGTTAAAAAAATTAAATCACATTATTTAAACAAAAGCAAAGTTGCAAAAATTGATCAATTTAGGATAAATTTAAAAACTTCACCATCATTCTTTTGATATTTGAAAATTAGTTGAAAATTTCCTATAATAAGAACCAAGAGTATACATGTCATTTTGCCTATGTGCCCATTACCCTTCCTCCCTCGATACTCATTCCATATAAATATTTATATCTGAAACATGAATTAAACTTAAACATATAATTGATTTAATTAGTTTAACTTGTCTATCCCTATTTTAGTTTTTCTCATTGCAATAATTGAATGTAATGACTATGTGACGGATTCCTAATCTAATTGCTCAAGCCGGATTCTCTTAACACTATTGTTAATTAATAAAGCCATAGTCAATAGTCAAGCATGTATACGAAATGTAATTAATTTTTTTCCACAGGTGTTAATCAAATACCAATCAATTAAAGTTGAACATATATGAAAAATCTGAATTGTTTAGAAACAATAAGCCATTCAATGAACCGATTGATTTTGAATAGGATAAATTACATGAATTACATCTGAAAAGCACATATTGAAGAAATTAGGAAAAAATTCCATTATTTAAAAATTAATTTTAAAAAATACCACTAAATGAAAGTTGTAAATTCTCAAAATTTAGTAGCTTTGATTAATTCCACAGATATAAACATTTTAATTTTAATGTCACTAAAAAATCCTCATCAATAGGTGTGCGCATATACAAGTTTTAAAATTTCCTATAACTATTGTATACCTCGAATCCTATCGCAAACTTATTTATAATCTAACGACACGAATACTTATTTTTTTTATAAGTAAAAAATTGTGGGTTTAATTCTGCTTCTAATTTTCTAATTTTGAACAGTTAGCGTATGTACCTTTAATTTCAAAAAAAAAACTTAAACCTTTAAAAAAAATAAAAAGAAAATTAATTTTCAGTGTAGTGAAAGATCACTTGGCCTTTTGACTGAATGCTGTCTTTTGGGTAGGTGCTAAGATCATTGCAAAAGCTGACATCAGCTTTCACAAGTCACTACCATGTCAGCTTTACCGTATTCTAAGGTGAAAGAACCAATATATAATAAACAAACAGCATGTATATAACCGACAAAAAAATACCAGGCTGCGTTCACGTTATATCTTTGATTCTGTACGAAAATTGGAAAAGCTAACCAACGGGATTAAATGTCGCGGAAGGGACCAGTCTCTTCTCTAACATGACAAACTAAAATTCAAATTCTCACAGAGAGATGTTTATATTTAGTGTCTAACAATATCTCGAATAGGATTGTTTTCAATTAGAGGACTTTAACAAAAAAAAAAAACAATGGAAAAGCTGGGGAATTTTTAAAAAAATCCTCCTAATTACCTAAAAAAATAAAGGAATTAAAAGAAAAGACTCACCTGATGCATTTGGAATAATGACCATAGGCACATTTTATATAATTCAAGACAAAACTCTTTTTATATATTTATTTTATATTTTATAAATTATAATTAAAAAACTGTTTATAAATTATCTTAAATGGATGCGTAAATGAAGAATCTCGTGTACACAAATCAGAATATTTACTGAAATCCCAGTGTTTTATTGTGCCGTTTTTGGACAAACAAAACCCAGAAAACAAAAACACACACAAAGACAAAAGAGGCACAAGATCCCAATCCCCAACGAATCCGACATCTTTTATTTTTGGTACAAGGTTAAAGATAGGAAAATTATTTACAAGAACTAAATTTAAAAACCATTTATTTTCAGGGACCATGTTAATACTGTTGTTCAAGCATTTGACACTTAAAGGTCATTGGAAATATGTAGTTTCCAAATTTGTTCTTTGAAAATATATATACTACCTCCGATCCTTAATATAAGACCCTATCTGACTTTTATTTTGATCCTAAATATGAAATTCTAATTCATTTTGTCTTTCATATTTATACTTTTTTTCTAAAGTAACCCTTCTAACAATGATAGTTCTAGTCAATACACTTGATTAGCAAGGATATTTTAGGAAAGACAACACATATTTAGGACAAATAACTAACTCAACTTACTTCTTTAATCTCTTCAAATTAGTCAACTGGCTCTTATAATTAGGACCGGAGGTAGTATTTTTTAAATTAAAGTTTCGGATGATCCTAATTTGTGATCTCCAAGCCAGCGCCAAGAGAATAAAGTTAAAGACAGAGATGTGGGTGGATGTTGGCTTGCATGTGAAAACGGAAAACAAGGGATGGCATGAGTCAGACATGACTATTATATATTTATATTACACTCTGATGGTGTCCAGCATGTTTTCAAGTGGGGATAGAGTCTTCTGCAGTATCTTACTAACCTTTTATTCTTAATGTAAAAATTTGATAACTAATTTACATGTATTAAAAAATTAATTAACTTAGTTATTTTTAATAAATAAGTATTATCTTCCTTAAAATATTCTTAATTATATACATTAGAATAAAAATATTTTAACATGTGTAATTACTATAAGAACTACTTTAGAAAAAAATTAACAAATATGAAAGATAAAATAAATTGAGATCTTATATTTATAATGAAATTAAACTTTCAACTAACTCTTATATTTACGACATCTAAAAGACTAGGAACTTAAATTATGTAATGCAATATACAAGAGAGAACATTAATTTCTTTTTATTATAACACATTTAACTTATGAAAGCAAGTTGATATTCCCTCAAATCCGATATATAAGCAACGGCTAATCAATCCGGATAGATCAAAATATTAATTCAAATGAGCTAAAATTGATAAATGTGTCAGAAATATAATTATTTTTCAAACATGGTATTCTTTTTTAAAAAATAAGTGATAAAAAATGCATTAATTAATTTAAAGACAAGCATTTGATGGGGTAAAAATGAAAGAGCAATTTAAAATTCCAGAAAAAAAAATTGCTTATATATAGAATAAGGGAGTAATTAATATGCCATCCTTTACACCTTTGTTAGATAAAATTAAATAAAATGTAAAAATTTTAAAATAAAATGAGAAAGTGAGAAATTTAATTGGTCTGTAATTTCATAATGCAATTGAGGAAAATAATAGTAACTATTAAATTGAAAAAGCTAATAATGCAAATATCAGAACACAGTGTACCAGGTACCCTTTTTTTCCTTTGGACCAGATACTTGGTACCCATTCATTATTGAGAAAATAATATCTACCCAGGAGTCTTTTGAAAGTGACTTTAACACTCAAATGCCCCTGAAATCTTTAGCACGACAATGGAAGAAAACAACAGACCAAGGTGAATCCTACAGTGTGCTGCTAGCTCTCTTCATTCTTCCTTTCCCCCACTAGTTTTATCATGCGAATCATTGATAATGAAGAACCCAAATGCAGAAAAACAAAAATCATAAAGGCAGAAAACAAAGAGAATAAAGAGAGCAAGGAGACTCATCCTTGTGACAACGTTGACTCAGAAGTCAGAAGTATGGGATCAAAACCCTCCAGCAAGATCGTGAAGCCTTTACTGGACAGTGACTAAACTAAAAAGGGTAGCATAATAAATGAGAATCCATGAGTTCCCTTTTTTTCCCCTTCACTCACTCTCTTTTTCCTATTTCATATTTTCTATTTTGGATATTAAAAATTCGTTAACTCCAAAAACCAATATTATTATCAATATTCAATATACATTCCATAAGAAGTCACACTATTCATAAATCATGAAGAGTGACTCGTTTTCAAACTTTGTATATTGTACAAGAATCACCTAGTTAATATTATACAATCACTCAATCACATCAGTTTACTCTACTGTCGCAGCACGGTCAAAATGTACAATAATGACACGTCAAACTAAGTCAACAGTATTTTTGCTGATTTCCAAAGAAATCTCTAATACTTTCGCAAATTAAAAGTATAATGTTATATACTATCAAATTGCGCGTGAGTGAGGTGAGATTTGTGAGAGGAAAGGTTACTGTACTACTGCTAGCAACATGCACCAATCATTATTTGATCAGTTTCACATCCTTTATTCAAATGCGTAAATGATTTGAAAATTTATCAAAAAAGATGTAGAATGATCATGAGTTCATGACATGGCAACCCTTCTGAATCGCTGCACCGACTACATAGTCCCATAACTAAAGCTTGTTCACTTTATTTCAGAGAAAACCAATTGAACAATTTCAACGAATTCCATCAGGAAAGGTTTACACAAACGGCATTTACTAACAGAATTTCCTAATATCAGAAATATGGGTCTTGAGTACAAAATATGCAGCAGAATCATAAGCAAAAGATTCAGTACGCATTTAGGGGACCCAGGAAGGTGGATGCGTAGGAAGATATGCACTAATGTGAATGATTATGGTAAAGCATCCGAAGATCCTTACAGTGATTGCATGTCCATGGCAATAATGGAGGATCCAGGCAATAGGAATGGATTTGTCGAATGTGGCAAAGATGGCAACTCATGAGCAGATCCTCAGGTTCTCGTCCCCGGCAAACAACACAAGCACCTCTCTGTGAGGACTGTATAAAAGCATAGAACAGACGCATCAATACAAAAGAAATTAAGAGTACATAAACTTCCTGCCAAATCCGGACAACAATGAAATAATTCAAACATGTTGCAAGATTATACATTAACATAGTTGAAGAAAACATCTCAGAAGTAAACATTTTAAAGGTCTAAAGTGGATGGTCAACAGTTACAACATGCCAATAGGATCAAACTTTTGTGGACACAAGCCCCATAATCACAAATGACTTTTTATTTTCAATTTTGCGCGATTAATTTTCACAAGATTTAGTAGACATGTTGTAACCTCGATATAGCCTATAAAGGTGGGATCAATCGTCTAATATGTGGCCATTCATAAAATGGTGAAAAAGACTTTAATCTTTATTTTTTCACATCTAGATGTTTATAATCAACACACCACATCATGCTTGTATCACTATGATTTCAGCAACACGTAACTATTGAAGTTCACTGATGCAACAAGATTAAAGTCTTTTACAACATTTTATGAATGGCCATAGATCAATAACACACCACATCATGCTCGTATCCCTAGTGGGAAAATAAATCATTGTCATGAAGATATGAAGCTATAAACACAAATTTGGGACAGAAAACACTTGAAAGTTGTTCTATTTTATTCATTAGAAGCTATCTACTCACGTAGTATGGTTTAAAGGTTTTTTTTCCAATCACATGGCACTGAGCATGCCCCACTTGTCAGTTGTCAGTTTTACTTTTATGCAATCCATCAGACTGCAAGACATATAGGAACCATCTAAGTTAAGCAAGAGAGAATGGGGGATCATGCTAAATTTATTTAGACCACTCTGATGCGATTATAGGTATTCAGAAGCATAGTGAAAAGAAAATAAATTTCTCTTTAGCAATTAGATTATCAGAAGCCAAAAGTACAGAGAAGTGAATATTAAGAGGACAAGCATACCTCAAAACCATAATTTGGTTGCTCTCGATCCATAAGAAAAATAATATCTGAGATTGGAATGCCACATGGGATTGTTTGGGAATATATCTTTTGATCCTCGGCCAAATCCTCATATTTAATGATGCTGTCAAACCTTGACTTGCACAAGGGACACGTTGAGATTTTTCCCATTGTAGTCTACAGATTGACAACCATTCATGAGAATGAAACAAAAATTCAATTTATTATTTCTATTCACTCTTAGTTCTACAGAATAATAGCTTCAGATGACTTTTTCACACATAGATGATCGTAGCCGCATATAAATGAAAATAAGACAAGTACAAATTACAGATTTGTTCCATTTAGCAATCTACATTTAAATGAGGCGTGAGTGTCGGAATGGTGAATTTCCTGCCTGTAAAAGGATGCCAGAGTATCACGTGCCATTTATTTTGTAAACAAAGTGAATAGAATTGGAATCGCATTTCATTGATATAAATTACACAGTATAACGCTGATGCATATATACACTCACAGGAGACAATCAAAGGATGGGAGATAAGGAAAGAAATCATATTCAAGTTAACACCTAGTCCCTTTCTATCTAGAATATTACACAAATATTTACATTCAATATCAAATTTTAGAACATGCCAACAAATATAAGTTGTTGGCAAAATTTTGGTAGCAAAATTAGCATTGTGAATTTGATGGCTCTAAAAATTCTCCAAGACAACAGAAGCCGTTTGGGTTCATGGAAAGTCTTCTAATAGGATTAGAAAAAAGGAATTTTGAATGAAAATCAATAGAAGATAACATGCAAAAGAGAAGATTATGTAACCAATGAAGAGTAGAGCAAGTCAAACCATATGATATTTGCATGATTAAGAGAAGAAAAATTTAAACAAAAGGAATAGAAGCTGTACCCTATGATCAACCCAACTCTGGATACAAGAATAACAAAACCTATGTCCACATGGCAAAACCCCCCGTGTTGAGCTGAATTCCGTCAAACATATGACGCATGACAACTCTGTTGGCTTGGGTAAGTCAGCCACATGACCATCCTGAATACCATCTGCGGCCTTTTCAAAACACTCGTCTACTGATATTTGCTCGGCAGTAGGCAAGGCATCTTGTACGCATGGAGCTGAAATTCTTGTACTTGATAAATTATTCAAATCTTTGATTTGTCCAGTGACATTTGATGCTGCATCGATAGCTATGTTTTGATTATATGAGTCAATATCTGATCCTTCTCTATTTTCTAAAATAATAACAGTAGAGACACCACCAGAAAGGCTAGAGGAAGCTACAGTATCAGTATTTAATCTATCCATTCTGCTAAGGTACTCCTCAGAGTTCAAATCAAGTAAAGGAGCTGAAACTCCTTGAACATTCCTTTTCACAAGCCTTCTTCTGTGATGAGAAGGACCAGCATCAGTAGCCACTCCCTTACTACCGGAGATCTTTCGTTTATTTGTCCTTGACCGTCTGGAAGAAGTTATTGGCTCCTCCTGCTTTTTAAGAGAAAAGAAGACAAATAAGATCAACAGATATAAGATGACAAAGTAAATTAAAGCACCCATGTAAACATATTTTCGTGATTTGTCATGTGACTTGGATCATGTTCCTAGTACACACGTTTTTATTTGTAATTCCATTTAAGAATGTACCAACATAAATATTCTAAAGCACATGCTTTCAGTAGAAGGGATTAAAGATAGTCAAAAGAACCCTTCCAGTTAGACAATCAGTTTTATGTTTTTATTTTTTTAAATTTCTTATTTTGCATTAGCTGCTTAACATAAATTCCTTGAGCGGAGTACTCACGTCAGACATAGGGATTTGTCATATGCTTCAGATGAACCACTTCAAAAACTAATGTTCTAGCATAAATTTCAAAGCAAGCATACTTGTAGCAACAGCTAATCAACGTCCAAATTAATTCACCTATCCATCTTCTAGAGTGCCATCATAAGCATTTTGGAATATAGGTCGTAGGTACAAATGTACAACTGCAAGTAGCATTTAGTAAAACAGCAATGAAAGAGGAGGAGAGGGATTAAAATTTTATGGATACCTCGTTCAAATAAGAATCTTCCCTGACAGAATTTCCGGAAGCTCCAGAACTGATGTCAGTTGTTTGGCTTTTGGAGGCAATGTCATCTGATCCATGTTTAAGCACTTTATTCTTAGTCGAGCTACTCACCCGAACAGCAAGTGGAACTTGCAGCAAAATGGGCCCCACCTCTTCTCCACTGCAAGAAAGTTGAACACAAGGACAGATTTATTTCAATTCTACAGGTGATAGTGGATGCTGAGAACGATTATAAATCATCACCAGGTTTTCCTTTCACTAAAGCAGAAGCTATAGCTCCTCATACTCCAATGAGAAGAAAATATCAAATTTACCTTTTCAGTCTATAAGATTCCTCTGGAACACGCCTTCCTCGCTTTAAACAATCTTCAATCCACTGGTGATTCACTATAACTGTTCTGAACTTCCGAGCAAGATTATATTTCCTTCCTTCAAATCGCCAACAAATCTGACCATTTTGGACCAGATAAAAAACCATGAACCATGAACTAGTTTCTAGAACCAAGTATAAGAGTAACTATTACTCCAGAAACTTGTATATTTATCGTCCCGCAGTTTTCTATTATTTTCAATTCATCTCTGATGGTCTCTTTTTTTTCTTTCTTCTTTTTTTTTTTTTAATAAATTTTTCAGAAAGATAGACTAACCAGGTGCGTGATCGATCGTGACATTGCGCCAACATAATTTGCACCAGCATGTGAAATCAACTTGATAAGATTGAATCGCTCTGTTCCATGATAGCCACTCACTGTTGCCACCACAGACTCCATACCTTGAATTGGAAATGGTATGGATTCTGTAAAATCGTGGCAGTAGTATGATGTCAGTACATACAGCACAAAATGAGACAGCAGAGAGAACGAATTACTGAAAATTGAAAATCAAGTTAATACTCTCAGATCAGAAGTAGTGCCTTATAATCAAAATCCCACGCTATTATGAAAGATAGATGAATGTAGTTTATCAAGACGAGAATCTGTATAACCTATAGAAAATATTTTCCTAAGCAAGAACCGGAAGTTTAAGTTTCCTTTTTGTAGAAAGGCGACGGAAAAGAAAAATAAGAAGGACTGTGTTCTTTTCGGAAGCTTTCTTCGCCTACAAAGGCCGAATCAAAAGCCCTAAGAAAACAGTCACTTTCCTGACGATGAAATTGAAATTGAATAAGCGATGTTATGGACTGAGACAAAGAAAAGAGAGAATCACCTCCATATTGCTGTTGAAGCTGATCTCCTTCCATGTTCTCCAAAATCAACATTTTGCCGGGAAACTGAAAGTTTTAAATCTCAGACGAAGCCAGTTATTTACGGGACCCGAATGTCGGAATCGGGTCAGGATAGATGAGTCGGATTGTGCCATTCAAATCGGGTAGGTACCGGTTTTGGGGGCTCTTCTTTTGTTTTATTTAAGCAGCCTCTGCACTAATATAAGTATAACCACGAGCCTTCAAATTTTGAATCTTGAAAGAAGAACCATGTTATTTGGTTGCAATCAAAATATTCTGAATGAATTTTTTTCATTGTTCATATTCATCATTTTTAATATTTATTTTTAGTATTTTCAATACTCAGTTTTTTTAATTTTTTAATAGTCATTTTATATGCTTTCAATACTTATCTTTCAGGTAAAAAAAAAACCTTATCTTTCATATTTTTGACATTTATTGTTTATTTTTTCAAAACTAAAAATATAGAAGATGATTATTGAAGTTTAGGGGAAAAAAGGTTGAGTATTGAAAATACTAAACATGAATACTATAGATGTGGGTTGGAAGATAAGTGAAAAAAAAAAACTTGGGAAAATTTTAATTTCAACCTAAAACCCCAGCCTCTGTATCAAATTTTAAAATTTTAGGGTTCTTAACTGTAATTATTATAGGGTACTTATCAAAATCCGTATCCAATGATGGAACTATAGCTTTCATGCATAATTAAATGTATAGATTTACTCGTCAATTATTATTTTTAAAGATAACAATATAAGATGGTAAATCTATCATTTGATTGGAGAATATAAAATTAATCGCAGAAAAGAGTACTCCAAAAGGGTAAAGGAACATGAAAAGAAATACTCTAATAAAAAGATTGAGCACAAGGTTTTGATTATCATTTATCAACTTATTCAAAAATTCAGTTGTTAATAAAACACAATAATACCGTACAATTCATATAATTAACCTGCCTAGTGGGGTAGCACTTTGTTGGTGTTACTGAAAAATTATATTTACTATATTTTACTTTAAAATATGATAGAAATACAAGTAATTTTTAATCATATTTTTATTATCTTGTCTTCACAACCATCTGAAATGATATTATATTTTCTGGCTAATGACACCTTATTTTAATTCTTCAACCATCTAATATTATATAGGCTTTACATTCACACTCAATATGTTCACCCTCCTGAACAATTCAAGTTTTTAAATTAAAACTAAAAATAAAAATGATCCTCGTTTACATAAATAGCCAGACTCTTTTAACAAAAAAGCATAAAATCTAAAAAAATATAAATCATTCCAATAATTCTGATAAATTATATTAATTTTATATAGTATATTGATTTTCTGTCGGAATAAAAAAAATATGTGATATTGATTTTCTATTTCAATTGCTTTATTTCTTCCTCACTCTCACTCCTCAGAAATAGGAATGCAATTGTTTCTCTGTCTCTAGCTCTTTCCTCTCGACCCGTTTGGTCGCAAAAAGTTGGACGGCAAGATCGTTGAAGGGCATCCTTCTTGGGAACTTTGCTTTATAGTTCACTATATTGTTCTCATCCTACCATAAATGAAACTTCTTTATCAGTCGGAGAAACTAGGAAGGTTACAATAAAATTGCATAACTTCACAAATGCTCTTTTAGAGGGAGAAAATAAAGCGAGAGAAAAAGATACTACATATTAGCCTGATCCTCTTTTACTGATTGTGAATGAGCGAGGCTGTACAACCTTTAGTTCATCTTTTTCGATACACAAATGTCAGAGTACAGGGCATGAAATAAATCACCATACAAAATGAAAATCACACTACATATTCTTAGATATACTCTCAAACCAAAATTACTAAAATTTATATCCGGCCAATTGCCATGCTAGCATGGATTCCAAATGAAGTGTCTCTTTTTTTTTTTTTTTGCCAACGAAATGAGGGGTCTCCTCTGAAGATTAGTAGTACTTTTGGACCTAAATGTAAGAAAATTAGTTTTTATATTTAGAACGTAGTATAACAGAAACACACATATGATAGTGCTTCTGTTAAAAATCATACTGAAGAAAAAAGGATTCGTGTAAGAAATTAGTTTGGTCATAAAAAATACACAGGTGCAAATTCTTATCACTACATCAGCAAGAGAGGCCCTAGTTTGGGAAAATTTATAAAAACAGCTAAATCGAGCCTTACGCAGTGTAGAGCCTAATAACTAATAAGCAAGCAATATTATTCATGACTTATAAATAATACAACTTAAGTTTTACAAATATATAGTAGATTCCACAAAACGGTAGAAACTAACCAACCCTTTGGGTGCATCCGCATGGAAAAACCAAGATTTTCAAGTCTTTCGTGCAGGAGGGGCTCATGTTTCTGAGTCCAAAATTCCAAACACGGGAGGGGGGAAAAAAAAAACTCGGTGATAAATATGCAACAATTATAATAACCGCCTATATCTGGTTGCAAAAATAGGATGGGGAACCACCTATTCCATTGATTAGCATATTTCAGTTCAATAAGGACTCAAATCTAATTTTGTAGACAACTATGATGGGGGTGAACAAAAACTTGTGTAATCTAATTTTATCTAACTGTTTGATTCACTGAAGGCGCATGGAGCATAATAGCTCGAGCAAAATTCTTCCATCCATTCACATGACATTCATAATGAAAGAGCAACCCGATAAAGTCACTTGCAGGGGACTGCACTCAGTAACAAGAATCAGATGATAGCATTAACGCCAACATCAAGTAGAAATACAATTCACTCTACAAGGGAATGCATTTCCTAGAAGACATAACCTGCATGGAGTGTATTTTACATTCTGCTCTGCTTGAATTTAGCCCCATTGTGCAAATTTCCGCAAGCAGCACAAGTCAATGTCCAAAAAGCGTTTGCTCACCAGCCACTCGCCGGATTTCAAATTATCTCTTTTGCAGCTTGAACAATATCATGTCAACCAGAACTCATGAATCAAAGTCAATATCATGTCAACTAGAACCTTTCAACACAAGAAAATTTGGGAAATTTGCAGACATTAAGTTCATGTCAAACTATAATGGACTTCTCAGAATTTCAAGACTTACTCATCAACAAATGTTGATAAAAGCCACACATACTAATCCTATGCTCAAGGGATTTTTTATTTTGTGTGATTAAAATATACTCTTTAATTGCATTTTATATTTAAACGTGAACTCCAGGCAAATTATCTGCAACTGTTTCACCGCAATATATGGTAAATTTTTTTACCACAGAAGAATTTCAGGAAGAAAAGAACTGATTTGAGCCTACCTTATTAGGGATCCGCCAGCAGCAGATTCATGCTGCAAGATGCGTCTTGATGATAACTGAATCAACAAATGTCCACCAGTATTGAAACATTGAACTGATTAACTACAAATGACATTTTATAACCATAGCAGATCGATAGACATAATCTGAGAAAGTATGCAACAACTTCCAATTAGATAGATCGTATCAAGCCCGTATACTTCTTTCAGGAACATGTCAAACTGCAATCCTTATCCCTTGAATTTGTGACATGACAACATTACATGAAAAAATAACTATTCAACTTGCAACCGTATCCCTATTCACATTGATTAACTAGATTCCCTTGGAAAACTATGAAATGAACAAGGGAATCAACAGACAAGAACCTTTCCCGTTAGTCATTTAGAGCCACCAAGGTGCTTTTAAAAATTTCTAGCATTCCTTTCCAGTCAAACATATCAAGCAAATCAATACGTGAGAAACTAACAGTCCAACAACTTATTAGATAACAATGCCTCAGGCTATCCGGTGTTAATTAATGAAAGGCACGCTGCACACAAATACATGAGCCCTCTTAATACCATGAAAAGTAAACGTTACATCCAGAACAAACTACGTATGAATTCATTAAGGCACATGCCCCCGAGGCGAAATAAAACTCACATAACTTTCAGGTGAAATGAAGATATCAGAGGCAGTACAAAATTATCTACTTGCCAAAAAGTCAAGGTCAGAATTACAATAAATAAATTATAATATGAAATATGAAATATTCATTACATCCTATAGGGACTAATAAATGAGAATATTCCTGTATCTTCTATTAACTCACAAACACCTCATTATTGTGGTTTCGAGATTTTGACCACTCTGGATTAACATCAGAGGACAGTTAAAATGATGGCATCTCTTCTCCAAAGTTAAAAGAAAACGTGCGTCACCAGGAATGCCCTGAATTTCAAAAATCAAGCCACCATCCTTTGAGGGACTTGTAATTGCTGTTGACTTGACTCCTCAACATGAGGAGAGCCAGATGGTGGCTGACAAGGTTTGGCTGCAACAACTGATGGTCCAGAGACTGAATAATTTGATGTTGAAATTTGAGCTGCTTCCCCAGAAGATGGATAATGTTGAGCTGCAATTGGGCATAAAATTAAAAATTAGAAACCAAAAGAAGAAGTGCTCACTATCTGGCCAAATTGTCATTGAATAAATTAACTCATTAGGAACTATTAATCCAACTGATTATTCAGGAACCAGAGTAGCTTGTTTAACAGTACCTGAGGGTGTATAATATGGTGGTGACATTTGCAGTGGCTCCCCAGGTGATGGATAGTGTTGCCCAACAGGCTGAGGTGAAATCCTTGACGGTGGCATATGAGGGCTAGCCATTTGATGAGATGCACCCCATGAAGGTTGATGTGTGCCTATCATTTGAGAAGGCTGTGGTGCATGCTGCTGTCCCATTGTTGGAGATGGAGGTGCAGAAGGTTGCCTGGCATGATGAGGTGAAATACCTGATGCTGGCATGTATGGGCCAGTCATATGATGAGATGCGCTCCATGAAGGTTGATGTGTTCCTGTCATTTGAGAAGGCTGTGTGGGGTGCATCTGTCCTCCCATTTGAGGAGGCGCAGAAGACTGATTCTGTGGTCCTGTCATCTGAGGAGGGTATTTAGCTGCTGGTGGTGGACGGTATGGAGGCCTTGGTCCAGAAGGACGAGGATTGTGTGCCCATCTATTCATGCCAAGAAGTCTCTCGAT